CTACTTCACTGTAAAGTCCATTCACAGTGGATGTGCACTGTTGGCTTCAGGTTCCTACATCACACTGTACAAGTTGCATACTGGACCAGGTATTGCAGCTAACATTTTAGCAGAGCAACATTGGCATTCACTTGGAGTTGTGTCCAAATATCTCTCTCCTTCGCTGCTAAATATTTGACTTTCTTCCCCAGTTAGTCACTAACATTGTATGTGCACTGTATAAAGATGTTTTTTGTTGGCATAAAGAATATTTTCTCTGCAAACAGCTGTCTGCTGCTGTTGGAAACCAGGTAGGTTAATCACAAAAAATAAAGTCATAATAGTTGAGCGATACTATTCATCGCTACTACACTAAGTGACACCTTTCACATCGCATATAGTAACAAACTCAACTTTAGCATAATAGTAAATAGACTGCATTTATAAAGCAATTTTCAACCTTAATGGAAAAGGGGCTTTACAATTTTGCCTCTCGTTCACCCATGGCGGCACAACACAGTGCTGGGCTTCCCATTGAGCAGTTTAGAGCTCAATGTCTTTCTCAGGGACATTAAGGCATGTGGACAGGAAAAGCCAGAGATCAATGCTGCACTCATCAATTTTATCAAGGAATTTTCATTTTTTGTAGATTCTGGCCGCTGTGGACAAAAGCAGTAGTGTTTCTACAGCCTAGTGGCAAATCTCCTGACTGAAGCTGTCCCTAGCTTTGTAGGGCTTTTTGCCTCCTATAGGGCCTTGTTTTGGTTTTCTGGCCCACAAATGTATTTATTATATTATTTTGCTTACAGCAGCAGGCAGATTAGTCTACTTACGACCGGCGAACATAGCATAGCTTTTAGCAGCTAAAAATACAAGTGTTTCATGTAGGAGTAGGTTGAGGCCAAAACGGAGGAAAAAAGGAAAGTAAACTTTGGACTTTGGAAGTGGTCCAAAACATGACTTCAAATTACTGTTAATGATGCTCTGTGTCTGCTGGACTAATATATAGGCAACAGCTTGCTAATTCAGGGATTCCCAAATTTTTTAATGTCATAGAGCTCCACAATAGATGCACATTAGACCACAGACCCCCAGTTTAAGAAGATTTTGTCTTCATTTTTGTTTTGTCTATTTTTTTATTTTTAGGTTTGAAGATAATAAAGTCTTCAAGGTCAATCAATGATCAAACTGTGATCACGTTTTAATTACAATCAAATGGCCACCCTCTTTCTTCCCTTGTTGTTACTTCCAAAAATATGATAAAAGGACCCCTGTTGGTCTCTGGACCCCAGTTTCAAAACTGCTGTGCCATAACAACAGAGATAGCACATAAGTGGCCAAAACAAAAACAAAAAAAAAATCAATAAATGAAGCTTTAACCATTTATTTAATTTGCTTCTTGTTTATTTCTTCTCTGTCTGTCATTACAATATTGCCTTATTATTGGGTTTACTGTATATTTTATTAACCTTTCTAGCATTCTCACCACAATAAATTAAAAATATTTTTTTTGCAATATTTGGAATGCCCTGTGGAGTTTTGTGATGTTTTCAGTGTGACTCACCAGAACGCATTGTGTGTTGAGCTCTAACGAATGTGTTTAATACATTTCCTTTCACATAAAATATTTGCAAAGCTGATATTTAAGTGTTTTAAATCCAGCATTGTTTACATCCACATTTACCAGTTCACAGTCTTCTGCGTTGCTGCATATCTTGTGTTCACCAAATTCTACTTTAACTGTTTAGATTACAGTGGGGTCTTTATTAGGGCTGTACAATATGGTAAAAACATCACATTGTGATTATTTTGACAGATATTGTGATTGAGATATGATTTGCGATTAGTGTCTTCTTTGCATCACAAACTTAATTCTCACTGAAAACTACTAAAATCAGTCACACAAACAAAAACACACACTGCACCATCTGTATCTGACCTTAAGCGAGTGTTTGAAGCTGTAGGACGGGGTCTTCTCGTGTCCATCTGTGGTCTCCTCTCGTTTCTTGCAGAACAGCAACATCTTGTCATATAGGAACAGATGCCTCTGCATGGGCTTAAACCTTGCCAGGTCCTTCACCTGAAATCAGGAAGTCATTTGTCCTGTCATCATCAGCAAACTGCAACAATATGGCAATCTTAAACTCCATTTTGTTCATGTTCTCTTTTATAAAACTACTGTATATAAAAAACAACTATTCCAGTGGTTTTGCATGCATTATGTTTCAACTAACCACAACTCTGCTGCTCCGTTCATTAATTCACTTTTCCCAATGCTCCAAGTGTCCTTACATTTTCTGCTCACATCCAAAATCTATCTGCACTTTCTCTAAACTTGCCTGAGTTTGTTAATCCATCACAGTCTAAGTTATCTTTTAGTCAAGCTAACTTTTTATAACTAATGGAGTGGTGATTCTTCTCTTTTATCACACCGTGATAACAGAACTTTGACAAAAACTTGCAAAAACACTGGTGCACTGATGTCAAAACATGGCATGCTGATATTCATATTCAGTACCTTTCTGTATGGACAGTAATACTGAACTGTATTGGTGTACCTTGCTGTGGCCTTTTTTGTGGTCGGTCCACACATTGAAGGATCCCTGCATCAGCAGCTTCCCAAGTTCACTCAGGTTTCCCTGCAACACACAGACAGACAGACTTTTATATTGCCGGTTTTGCTTCAGCTCTGTAGGGTGGGAAATTCTGAAAAAATCTGTAATCCATAACAAAAGAAAGGAAAGGAAAAATATTTTGCTGATATTTTTCTATAAAAAATGTAATCCTGCCTGTAAACAGTTATTTTACCATTGTCTGGAAATTTTACAAGCTCTGCGATGACAGATCACTGACATATCTAGTGTTCAATGTCATTTTTTTTTCTTTTTTGGATCCCTAGTACCACTAATGACACTGCTAAATTTGTTTAAACTTAAATTTGATACATTTCCGATAGCTGGTCTTTAATCTTCATAGTCTGAAGATTTTCTTTTTACCCCTAGGTGACATTACTGAGGATGAAACTGAGCCAAACAGGCCTTGTACAGTAGTGATTAACTGGCTGATTAACACGACCATGTCCTTACTTAAGGCCCAATATCTGCTGTTGTGAATACATACAGTTAAGGTCTCGCCCTTGACTTCATTAACCCTACTTTTCTCAAACCCCTTTTTTTTAGAAAAGCATTGTCTTATATTCAAACCAATAGGGTAAATCTTAGAAAAGATAGATAGATATCTCTGTCTGTGTGAGTGAGAGAGGTGGAACTCTGCAGCTGCCTAGACCTAACCAAAACCTGTTGGTCGGTGTTGTCACACCATGAAACTGATTTGTAACAGTTTAAAAGGGAAAGGGAAATGATTGCGTTGTCGGATAGGAAAAAACCTTTGCGTTGTTCTAGAGAACATGGAAAACAACACATTTTGTCATTTAATATTGAGGACTTTTAGTGTGTTTATGGTATAATAATGACGTCCATGTACTCTCACAGATTGAGCTGAGGATCATATAGCCCAAAGCTCCAAACTGACTGGTTGGCCAAATCAAACGCGTAATCCCATGATTGCAAACTATGTGTTTCTGTGTAACCAAGCAAATGCTAATATCATGATAAACAGTACATCACTATTTCCCATGTAGAAGAAAAGTCTTTGAAACATTTTGTGAGACCTGAAGTGTGATGAAATACATACATCCAAAGAATAACAGCAACTTCCTCAATTACCCAATACATTTCGATTACTTGTTAACCAAGCACGGCTTCGACCCACTTTCTTGAGTACCGAAAGTCCCCTCTGAGAGTGTTTGGTTAATAAATGATCTGGAATTTAAAGCTGGGTGGACAGACATTTTTTTCCAGGTGGACATACGTTTTTTTTTTCATGCTCCAGGAGATACTGCATTCTCAAAACATAGCATGAAATTTTCTAAAATAAAATTCAGCAACAAAAAACTCAATAACAAATTTTTCCCCTCACACATGCAGTCATTTAATGGTGCTACACAAAACTGAAACTGAAACTAATATAAATTTTAGGCAGTCTATGTCTTGCTCTATATCCTTCCTTGTTTACATCATGTCACAGCCTTGTAAATTGTTCCTAGGTATGACAGCTTAGATAGCCTACAGTAATTTTTTTTTCTTTTTCAGGAAGACAGACCATAGTATTGTTAGACTTGTTTGGAAATACTCTGTACTTCTGTCTAATGGAACCTCTCATTGTCCAGTATGACACAATAACATATGACTGTTTGGTCTCTGTGAATAATTTTAGTACAGTCTATACCTGCTCTATATTAAACTGTTACTGAGATAACTTCTGTTATGATTTGGCACTATATGGAACTGTTTTCCTACCACAATTATTCAAGGTTAAAGAAAATACGGAATGAATCTGAACAACTGAAAGCCCCTTTATCACTGACCTTTTACACACTGATCACATGAGCGTGGAGTCAGGGCTGAGTACAAGTGAATGGATCTTGCATGGATAATGTGTGACTGAGCCAGATCTGCTCTCTTTGAAGTAAGAAGGCAAGATAAAGATGCAGTAGATTCCTGGTGTCCACTGACTCTGATGCTGCTCTCTGAGAACACACCAAGTGTCTGGGTGGGAAGGTGACATGGGACAGTAATCTGATATTCATAAACTGATGGAACAAAAATTGACCAGATGCAACCTAATGTTTGCCTATTCTATTGGGTATGTGTGACAAAAGCATTTTGCAAATCTCTGCTTAACATAGTTTTATTTTAAGAAGAATCCTAATTTCTTTGCTTGTCTTTTCAAATAATGAAAGCTTGAACTATTTACTTCTAGGCCATGTGTTCTTGTGATTCAACCATTTTAAAACAAATACAGACTAAATTCCCTGATTGATCCTTTAACTCACCAAAATGTTGTTTAGAGACATTGTTAGCATTTTATCTGGATTAAGAATTCTCCAAAAAGATGTGGCCCTACTGCAGTCCACTTTAGATGAAGTGGAACACAGTGATTGGTTTATAGACATCCAATCAAATATGTTTTTGCAGTCATATGGACCCATATGACGATAATTGTAGATGTAGACATCCTAGAAGTTACAGCATGTGCATTGGAACATTTCAGCCACATATTTAAAAACCTGATCCACTAATCCATGTTTGGATTTTGCTGTTACCAAAACTTACAGCAATTACTGCAGTGGTGCATAAGGGAACTCTTTGGCTCAACTTAATTTCTAAAGTATATATAATTTCAAATTTTAAGTTATCTAAACCAAAAAACTCAACCTCAACATCAAACTAGTAACTTTAAGTTTGGTCCACTTTGGTAAAACGTAGAAGTTTAATTAAAGAGCATAACTTTTTAAACTGACACAACCAGCTGGCCCCAAAGTTGAGTAAAGTCAAAAAGACTGTACAGCTGGTTGCTGGTTTACTCAACTTCTTCATTTTTACAGTAATGATGAGGACATCATGATACTAACCTCAAAGCCAGTGATGGCTATCTGGTGCATGGAGTCATTGACAGACTTGATGATGTCCAGCATAGTGGCTAAAGCCTCCTCCAACTCAGCTGTCCCCTCACCCTTATTGCATTTTAACATCTCCTGGGAGACAGAAAGGAGGAAAGGGATTATAAAGATTGAATAATGCAGCATTAGAGGAAGAAAGAGAATAAACACAAAAATACAGACGACAAGAAAAGAACAAGACTGATGTAGACATTGAAGAAGGCCCGTTGCTACCAATTGGGAGCTCATGTCCTCTGTGTTTTTTCTTTTCTTTTAGTAACTTGACTGGGCCTCAAGGCCCCCCCGATCAACAAAAGAAGAGGTGATGATAACAGGCGGTGCCAGGGAGAGTTAATTGTTAACAGTGATAGGCTGGGGTAACAGGTTTATCAAGTTGAGGATGTCAGGCTATTGTCCTGGCACCTCTAGTACTAAGTTGTCTACTCCTCTAGTACTGAGCAAAACCTCATCAGTGACATACAACTGACTCTAGTGGACAAGTTATATTCTTAAGAGCTTTGCAAAAAGGGAGAAAATTATCAGTGTCATTATGTTCCACCAGTAACTTTTTGACATAAATGGGCCGTTGACTTTAAAAGATGTGAAAGAAAGTTTCAGCAGTGTCTCATTTAAGCAGCACATTCCAGATGCTTTTGGTTCCTTTCATGAAACATTTGTATTTTGATCTGATGAGGATGGAGTCATGTCAAAGGTCAGAACACCAAGTGAGTAAACTACCACTGCAAACCATGAGGAAACTCCAGCTGGGGCTGGTCAAGCTGACCACTAAATAAAGTCAAGAAGAAGACAACCAGATTCTCAACTTACCCACAGAGGAAGCTCTGAGTTCTGTAACTGTACAGTCAAACTTTGTTGTTTTAAACATTCTTTATAGGAGCAATGTGTAAGATATGGCCAGAATTATAGTTTATGAATGTTAAAAACATTCAAAAAGTGAACATAACAACATCAACAGAATGTAATGAGCTAACACCTATTATGTTATGATTTAAGACTTCTATGTATTGTGATGTAGTTATACACTGATCAGCCATAATATTATGACCACTTACAGTGCAAGGACACTGATTATAATGTTATCATGGCACCTATTAGTGGGTGGGATATATTTGAGGCCAAATTGTGATGGCTAGACCACTGGGTCAAAGCATCTCCAAAAACTGCAGTCTTGTGGGGTGTTCCAGTCTGCAGAGGTCAGTACCTATCAAAAGTGCTCCAAGGCAGGAAAAGCAGTGAACCGGAGACAGGGTCATGGGCTACTGAGCTACTGTAGCTCAAACTGCTGAAAAGGTTAATGCTGGTTCTGATAGAAAGGTGTCAGAACACAAAGTACATTACAGTTTGTTGCGTATGGGGCTGCATATGGTAAATGGTAAATGGTAAATGGACCTGTAGGCTACTTGTATAGTGCCTTTGTAGTCTTCCGACCACTCAGCGCTTTAAGTGCCACATTCAACTTTTCACACACATTCACACAGTGATGGCAAACTCCATCGATCAGAAACTACTTCATTCATGCACATTCATAGAGCAATTTAGGTTTTCAATTTCAGTATCTTGCTCAAGGCTACTTCGACATGCAGCGGGAAGAGCCGGGGATCAAACCAACAGCCTTCCAAATACTGGACGACCCGCTCTACCTCTGAGCCACAGCCGGCCCTGTTATGGCTGATCGGTGTATCTATTGAAATTAGCATGCTAAATTTACCAGCTAGCTTACCCAACACCAATAGTCATGCCAGATTCTGCTCTGAACCAGAGTTACCAGTATCTTCTAAACCTGTCTGCAGCTGCACTGTTGTTATTGTAACCATCTGTTGGCAACCCATATCTACATTAAGGGTGGGAGGAGGTGAAAGGTGTGAAAGAATGTCAAAACCATTTAGGCTAGGTTGGGACGGAAGAAGAAAAGGCTTGAAAGCTTAGGCGTAACCACAACAGACAATATTGAATGGAAATGGGAACAGGTGAGTAGGTGATGGGAAAGACAGGAGGGAATGGCTTCTTAGATTTGTAATGACAGGGTAGTTATAAAGGCAGTGGAATAAGGCAGAAAAAAATAGAGGCGACAAGATGAAAAATAATTAGGAGTAGTTTAGAGTTGTGACAGGACCACCCCTTCTAGAACTGCTGAAAACCCTAGATAAGAGATGGGCCAAAAATGTTCCAGGCATTACCCCGGATTTTTTTTGTCTGACTGATCATTTGAAGGGACATATCTCATTGTGTTATCTGATTTTTATGCTGTACAACCATTAAAAAGGGTGGTTCCCGGAATGCTTGTTCAGGTCAGGTGTCCTTACAATGCTACAAAAACATGGTAGTGTGTGTGTGCAGTTACCTTGAGCATGAGTTGGTATTTGGTGATCCTCTGGACAGGCTTAAGCAGGTAGGCATCCAGAGACAGTTTGTGGTCCAGCTTCTTTTGGCATTCCTGTTGTAACAAACACCAAACGTTCTCCATCAGGAAGGGACACAAGCCAGACCTACTTGTCAAAGCTGCAGTAGGTAAAATGTGCATGTCAAAATACACCTGTCCAATTAGGTGAAGTTACAAAACAAGTTAGCAACAGTGTAGATATTGTGGTCGTAAGATTTAAATTCTAGCATCGGATTGGAAAATGTTTTTCTGGTGGATGGGAAGTTTAAAACAGACCAAAAATGGAAGTTGAACATAATAAACAACAGAAGTGCTTCATGGCTGAACTTCTTCATGACGTCCATTCAATCTCTTACTAAGAAGATGTTTGATTCAACAAACCTTACAGGGGTCACACATTTGGACAGTTAATTGCTACTGTATAAGGGACCTGGAATATGGAAAGTAAGTTAATAAGTAAGTAAAGTTATTGTCTCTTGATATTGTGTGTGTGTGTTACCTGAAAGAAAAGGCTGTCTCCACACTGTCTCCAGAGGACTTCAGAGCGTGGTTTATTCTGACAGTACTTCTCATACACCTGAAGCTCTTCTTTCTGTAAACGCAAAGGCATGTCTGAGTGAAGAGAGGCCCTTAAATCATCTAGTCAGTTTCTGGTTCATTTTAGCTGTTGCTGGAATATGAAATACTATAAGCTTCTCATTCTGTAGCTCATGATAGTGGATTACCACTATCATGAAAATATGTTTAGAAATGACTCTTTTTAAAAAAAAATATGTGCTGGAATTATGGCCACTTGCAATTCTTTTTAATGAAATCAGAAATATTTGTGAAGGGTTGTCAGATTCAGGTAGGTTTTCTCTGGGTTCCTTTTGGATATGTTGTCAAGGTCCTGGGTTTTGTGTGTGCAACTGTTCACAAATCTTTATGATCACACAGTGCAGCTAAATGTACTTAATTAATTTCCACCACTGTTTCTAAGCTACTCACCCTTTTCAGAAAACAGGTTCCCACCAGCTCTGGTTTCTCTGCACAGTTCTCCAGCTCCCTCAGAAAAGTTCTGCGTGTAATATATGAACAGAATAATAAGAACACAACGCACATTGTAATACTCCTGCGGTGAGCTGGAAGCCAGATGACCTGATGCTTAAAGTGACTAAGCCAATAAATGCACATACAAAAGTATTTTAAGTCTCAAATCATGTCATCAAAGGTAATCTCGGCTTGGACCTGAAGACCCCAAAGTATTAACAGGAAGACTGAGTTTACAAACGGTGGGTGTGGAGTTTGAAAGATGTGGGAGAATCAGGGAGGATCTGAAAAGAGGATGTCATGTTACAGAGTCTCTTTTACTCCTATAAAGCAACGGGCGGTCAACTTAGGTCTTGGTCCCTTAGTTTATGAAATGAAAAAACAAGGAGTCTAAAGAAGTGAGAATAATCCAAGGAAGTCTAATGATGACTCCACCTCAGATTTTTACCAGTTACTGTAAAAAGGGATGATATGCATTGCTGTGAGAGAAAAACATAGATTATTAAAGAAAAGAGGCAAGACAAAACAGGACGCAAGAGAGAGAGGGAAGGAAGTGTAAGAATAAAGAGAGTGGATGAGATAAAGGATGGAAGGGAAAGGAGGGACAATTTTTTGGTTGAGGCCTTCAGGGAGTCTAATCTGCCTGGAATTCCTGTGATGTCTTATTCTGCTTTGTTGACAGTTGCTTTGAATAACTATCTTGTCTGCACAGACACTTTTGTTTGTATGCGAAGCACCTGCACACATGCTAAGGTTTCATACAGGTTTAAATTACAGGGTGGAGATACAATTGGAGGAAGTAAACACAAGACAACTCAAATGTGTCCACATGCTGGCTGCAGAGTTACAAAAGACTCTACAGATCTTGATTATTTGTTATTTATTGTCTGCATGAATCTTTACAGAGGGCAAAAGGAGACAAAATCCAACTTGTGAGAACAAATTGCCTAAACCACTGCCCTAAACAGCAATTGTCCAGTTGTAGCTTAGCAACCAAAACTAGACACAACTGGTCTTTCAAGCTTTGGATTTCTAAGTATGCTAGAGTGGTGTGCATGTATCATATGTGAGATACCTGGTAACTGACCCAGATAAGTAGCAACTGTAACTAAGGAGGGGCAAGGCTTAGCAGGTGGAGCTATGATGGGATTCACGTATGGTTATCAAACTCTAAGTCCTCTAAAACCTCTACATATCTTAAAACCTCGGCACATAAATCCACAACTACTTGAATGACATACACACCACTAGATAATTTTTTTTGGTTTTTTTTCAGTGATGTCGGGTTGTTTTTTTAAGGATGACCTCTCCCCATTCTCCTTGTTAAACACAACCAAGACAACAAGCTCTAAACTGATAACTCTGGACACATCCAACACACAGCAGTCATGGAGGTCATACTAACACTGCTGCTAGAGCAAAGGTGAAATGAGATATTGTATGACTAGTGTCTCATGCTCATGAAGACACAACATTCCGCCTGACATTCTCCAAATTCAAACAAATCAGCATCAACAGTTACTGGAGCTATTGGAATACTGACTGGATATCTCTCTTGAGAATAAAAGGCTTTAATAGCAATTTTGCAAATACTGTACTGATTGATTGAAATGTAGTATTGATGGGCCCTTCTGCTCTCTAATGCATTATATACAAACAGGATGGACATTTAACTAGCCAACACACTCTACCACCACAGAAACATTGGAAACACTGCCTCTTTATCTAATTATGTGATGCAATTTAGTCAATTTATGATACATTTTCAGTGCTCTCAGTTGGGGTTTTAGGGTAACAAAATACTTTTTTCTAGAGAGAGTCTGCTCCCAACTGATAGGAGTTGGAACTCACAGAGATGTCATGACATTTGATCTTCCTCCCGCTATTTAGAAATATCTTAGTCCTAATGTTTGATTCCTAAGAAGACACCAGTTGGTGTGTGTGTGTGTGTGTGCGTGTGTATATGTGCGTGTGCGTGTGTGTGTTTGTGTGTGAGAGAGAGAAACCGCTTCCAGTAAACAGACCAGCTGGAATGCAGACTGTTGATCAGCGGATGTAGGAGTGAGTGGGAAGAAAAGAGACGAAGGCAAACCATAAATCTTGGTGTATTTCTTCCATAAGAAACAAAGTCACTCATAACTTCTTTACTTAAAATATAACTGCAACATGCAAAACACTCTGACTCTGCTTAATCTAGTGTGACGTGATTTCTCAGACGTCAATATGCATCTTGTCCTGCAGTGAGTCTTGTTTTGTTACCGATATCAGTGTTTCTCAGACATATTATAATATATGGCAGGGCAATGAACCAAATGCACTCCACCTACTTGTTGTGAAATTCATATATCTCTGGCAGGTTGCCAAACAGCACATCCCTTTTGTTCTCCAGGGAAGGGGGAATGAGATGGCTGAGTTCAGAATTATCCAGCTCTGCGAAATAACCCTGGGGAGGAAGGTGAAATGATGAGACAGTGAAGAAGAAAACGCAAAATTAGCCATAAACTATCTGGCAAGGTGGCAAAACATCTAAAATAGCTACTAATTTTAACCTGAGACAACCAGAGAAAGAGATTCTTAACCTCTTCCCATCTGCAGCGTCAAACACAATCCACAGATTGACACCTATGGGTGCTGAAAATGAATTATAGACTAATACACACTAACACACCATGCTCTGTTCCACGTAATCAATATACTGTACAGTCAAAATGAATGCATTCCTGCTGGAGTTCAACCATTTGTCGAGTGAGTAATCCAACGGGTAATTGATTGGACATATTCAACCCGGGGATCATATGAAGTTCATACACTGGCAGGAGTCTGAAGGTTGGATTTAGTTCTTTCTACTAAATGGCAATCAATGCAGTTTAGTGAGCTTGGGAATGCACCGGTATCCATCGTGCTATTGAATGTCTAGACTATTTGCATTAAGAATTTCCCTCCTGAAATGATAAAATCCAATTCCAACAGCAATGTCTGAGTCTGAAATCATAAAATAAATTGACTAATAACTCCAGCCATCTGTATTGGAAGATTAACTCTGAACACATTACAGCATATGACAGGGATATCGTTAGTTAGGATTAAAGCCTAACTGATATTAAGATACATCAGCCAATTGCAGACATCAGTATCAGTATTGTATTGGTGCCAATATGAAAACTGTTTCTTTCTGGTAAATAATGTAAAAAGGCATAATTTTTACAGCAATGATGTTTAGTTGTTATTTTTATTTATTCTTTATTTTCTCAGTGTTACTTTCTAGAATTGGTTGACAATGAAGCCCACTGGTTACCAACCTTTTTCCTTAAGGGACACCTTTTCTATCATTGAGTAAACTGACTGACATATTTGATGAATATTTCATAGTATATTCAAGGCATAAAAATAACTTTATAGGCTTCTTTTTTGAATGATATAGTGTTTTCACCTCCCTGATACAAAGCCATTGCCATTGTTCTGTCCACGCTTTTTTTTTTTTGATGCAGGATAAGGTAGTTTATCAGAGTGAAGGTTCTGTGAGGATAGCTTGTGTTCAGATCTTCACCCCTCTATCCTGTGAGATTTTTTTATAACTTAATATCTTAAATAATATCTTATTTTTTATATATCTTAAACTATACCAACCACCATATCAGTAATCAGTAAAAATTTCCTCTCTAAAAACAGTATTTGTCTCATAAAACCCATATTTGTCAGGCTCTGGTAAAGATTGCAGTTTTCAAGATTCAAGATTGTTTTGAATGTAAATAAGACATTAGGGAAATGTAAAATGGATAAGAAAATCTTCATGTACCTCCATGATGCTTTGCAGTTCCTCCACATACAGCCTCTCTGTTTCAATCAGCTCAGTCATGATGTGTCTGCAGAGGAAAGAATGGGGTAATTTGTAACGCAAATCTTAATGAAGCCACTCTAGAAGAACTTCCTGCAAAAAAACAACAACATTCATTTATTCATCCACATTGTTCTAATTGACTCTTTAGACGCTGACAAACAAACTAATGGATCAGTAACCAGCAATCAATATGTCAGTGAAGTGCTGTTTGGTCACATGAGACCAGCATTTTCTCCTGAGCCACTCAACGCTGTGGCTCTACTAGCTTTGCTAAAGTTGTCCACTCGGACCTGCTAACCGGCTAATAACAACAACATGAAAACCCAAATAATGGCTTTTCAATCTTGGCACAGCAGTAATGACACCCCCGCAACGATGAGAGTGTTTTGTGGGTATTTTGGATGAGCAGTGATATCAGACTTTGTCAGGATATGTCTCCCATCTGGCACCATTACAAAAGGGAAACTTGTGCTTTTTCGTTTTATGATGCTTCCTCTACAGTGATAATAGCATCTGCATCTTAATGTTCAGTCAGAGGGGTATAATTACTTTGTGAGTCATCAGGAGACTGAACATTCATGAATCCTTCCACCCGGGGGAAGTAAACTTTTTAGCCATGCATGGCAATGCCTGTCTGTCCATACTGAAATATAACAACTACTACATGGATTCCTGTGAAATCTGGTGCATCCATGGTGCCCAGAGGAAAAATTCTAATGTATCCACTGAGCCCCTGACTCTTCCTCTTCCTTTTCCTAAGGATACAATGAAGAAAAAGGTAAGGTTTCCGTTACCTTCCACTTAAATTATTATTTGGAAATCGCACACATGCCCTGATATCTCATTTTATAGTATGATCTGAAGGCTTGGAGCAAGCTGAGGTAATCTGAGGACTTGACCAGGAATTCAGAGGAAATCACAGAATACATCATACAACTGTTTTCACAGGCTGAGTAATAATGATAATAATGATCCTAATCCTAATGATGAGTTCCCCTACAAGGCGACACCTGCATTATTATCTAATCTTGACCCCCCCAAATTGAAAATCTAGTTTTAAAGCTGAGTGTGACAGTTTATTCTTGACTTTGGAAACAGTAGTTTGACAAAAAGGTCAACCAACCTATTCGCTTTGGCCAGAGCTTCCACCACATGGAATCCATCCTCCATCCACTGGGGTAGATTATACAATGCGGTTGAAAACTCCGGAGAAAGCTTGGTAATGATTGGAGTTCAGACTTTTTTGGCAAAACTGGTTTGAAAGCCTTCATCATATCCATAAAACATAATCAAATTGGACAAAGCAAATATGCAGACAGTAATGGTCCTTTTCATCTCTGCACTTATAAGATTTGACAATTCAGATGCTATCACAAACCCATGGAGATGTGCTTAAAAGCTTTTTGATGTACACACCAATGTTATAGGTCAATAAAGCTCAAAGCAAATGCCTCTGATACTCCCATCCGTCATGCCATAGTCATACAGGAAATGGAAGAAAATGCTTGCCTATGTTCTAATGCTTGCCTCGAACAACCACAGACTCTTCAGGCGTGTCTCTTGTTGCTGCAGCAAATCTGAGACCCAAACTGTAACTGAAGCGCTTCTCTCTAACCTTATTATAACTAAGAATGTGCACAAGTACAGGGACACAAATGGGCTAGTCTTGTTTGCTCATTACCTGACTATGTACGACAAATTGAGTGCTGGCAGTGATTTGTACAATTTCACACATAGGCTCATGCACACAGACACAGGCTTATCCTCCTCTCAATGTACAGCCATAATTAGGTTTTTTGCACAAGATGTGTGTATCAGCTGATTCAGCTCAGGAAGGCATGTATTCTATATATTATAACATATAGTAAATAGTAAATATTCATTAAAGGTTCCTTGCTAACAAAAATATTTCCAAGCAAATAACTATTTACATGAACCACTAACATTTCCCAACATGAGCTTTTTATATAACTGCAAATACAGACTCCTACTACAGGGTTCTGGTATTGAAATCAGGGGACCGAAAAGAACTGCTTTGGTGCCAGGTGAAATGTGTGTGTTGCACTGATCACAGAAAACTGTGAAGTGGCAAGAGTTGGTATTTAATGTCGGATCCGGCTTGAAATATTTTCAGGGTTCTCACTCTTTAAGGAATAATTCCAGGACCTTTCCAGGACATTTTCCAGGGTTTTTTCTTGACAATACAGAATAGCACTTTCTAATATATAATATATACATTTGTTGACTGTCTTCAGCATTTCCACTGGGCCTCAGAGAATTTCACTTTTGGCTCTGGAAAAAATAGACTCGGTAGCATAAAAGTCACTGCAAGTCTGTTCTGCTCCACGTGTAGTGTGAACAGCTACACTGACTGAGATTGGAGCCAAAATGACAAGAGAGTTTGTTCCACTCTGTGTCTAGTAAACCAGCTCATCCTACCAACAGGTTCAAAAATCCCACTAAACCTAAGGTTATTTGACCTCGTTCTATCATATGGCATTGATATTGAACATTTAATAGTCTTTCCACATAATCCTTTCCTATCTGACCATTATTTAATAACTTTTGAATTTCTATTATTAGATTATAAGCCATTAGGCAAAACTTCCTACAGCAGATGTCTATCTGACAGTGCTGTAGCTAAATTTAAAGAGGAGATTCCATCAATGTTTCAGTTCAATGCCATGTCTGGAATAT